AGGGGATTCACATGTGGGTGGAAGATGCTTTGTGGTGACAAATGGCGTGTCACAAATGCGAGGGTATGCAACAGATGAAGGAGTAGGAGAAGCGAATGGAAGAAGGGATGATAACTGCTTCATTGCGAAGCCAATTCTTGCACAAATCAATGAATGTGATCAACTAATTAATAAGGTACATTCCATTCTTGAATCTCTTAATTTTCCTATATCTATTTATGAAACTAAATTAAATGATTTAAAATTCACCTTTTCAAGTATAAGTGACAATTTGAAACAAACTCTCCTATCAAATGCTAACTTAACCGATCAAATCAGCAGAGTGTCGTCAAAAAGTAAGGAGCATAGGATGTGGATAGAGAAGATTGAGTCCGAGCTTTCTAGGTCTAGGGATGAGTCAATTTATTTACAATGAGACAATTTAAAGCTTTTAAAACAAGGTAACATTTTTTGTTTGTTTGCTAAAAGGCTTTATTTTAATATCACTCAATTGCATTTGGATTGTGAAATTGGTAAGAAATTCATAAAATGATCTTGCCATTTTTGTAATTAAAGGAAGATTAAATTGATACTGATTGTTTTCAATGTGAATCTATCGTCTCATCAGATGTAACCTCAGAGGCTTATAAAATTGGTCTTGACAAAATTGAATCATATATTCAGTCCAAAGACCACAAGGACATGTTGAGACAGTTTTACTCGATGAAAATGACAGGTTAAAGATCAAAACTGAAACTGTACAGAAATTTGATTCATTGAGTTTGAAATTGAGTTTAGACAATAAATTGAATGTTGAAAATATTTATGAATTCGATGAGGACAGTGAGATGAGTGAAATATATGTAGAAGATGAGGTTTATTGTTCACAATTCCTTAGAGACGAACATAAATAAGCGAAAGCTCTCATTTCAGAAAATTCAGTTGAATTCGCACATCTTTCTCAAAATAATCCAAAATTTCTAAAGGAAAATGTGACTGTCTTTCCAAAGGTCCAAACGACACCTAACCAAGTCTTCGCAGTTAATGGTGTAACTAAATGTCAAACTATTAAACTAACACACTTAGTCGAAGTTGATAATGTTGATGAGTGTGATAAGTACTTTTGGTCCACCACAATTGACAATGCAGACGAAACCGTAGGTCTTTCTGAAAAGACCTCTTGGAGAGTTAAATGAAGGTATGTAGTTGAACCTTTAAATAAGGTTAATGCCACCTACGAAAAGGGAAGTTCCATTGGAACCAAGGATAATCCTACTGACAATTCCTCAGTTCAAGAAGACACTCCTGTGCGAAAGATAAGGGCAAAGACGAATGTTCACAAATCTGTTGAACAGTTCGTAGCACAAAAACATCAACGAAATGCCAGCTACAAGAAAAATATCCGGGAATGAAAGCAATTCTAGAAGTTAAGGAATCCTAAATATGTTCACCATGAAAGGCGTTTCAATCCTCAAACGAACGTTGGCTCAAATACCAATTCTAAAAGCCAAAAAGCCTCTTCACACACGAATCCAAAAGGCTTCTCACCTCGTCAGTCTCACAACCCTTAGGATCCGAAGCATACAGTTCATCATAGATCTGTTGTCTCAAAACCCAACTCTCATTCAAATCATAAATCAGCTCCCAAAATAACCTTCATTTCTAAACCAGGAGTTTCACACACTTCCAATTCTTGTGACAAGATAAAGGGAAGGCGAAGGTTGCTTCAGAGTCTCAAATTCATTTCAAATCTAAGGAAGAAGAGTGAAAGTTTGTTTTAAATCAAATAAGAAATAAAAAAAATTGACTTGAAAGAATCGAACCATAAATATAATCGTATTAATGTTTTTACAATAAAGAAGAAAGATCAAACAGTCTTAATAAAATGAACTTATATGATTGATCTCTCTATTACTTATCCAGTTACTGTAAAAGGCTCACGAGGACCCAAACACCTTTTGGTTCCTAAATTTGCTTAATTTTTTTAGATTATTTGTGACAAAAAGTTTGATACTGAATGGTATATCGAAAATGGTTGTTCATGTCACATGACAGGAAGAAAGGAGGAGCTGGGAGAATACACGGAACTAAAGAATGGTGGTCTCGTGAAGTTTGGTAATAATGCACTTGGGGAAATCAAAGGTTATGGCATGATAACCAATGAAAAATTCTCTATTCGCAAAGTGGCATATGTTGAGGGACTGCAACACAACTTAATAAGTGTTTCGCAATTGCTAGTTGGCACATGATTAAAGGTCTCATTTCACGATGAAGGATATGAAATTATCGAAAAGAAGACGAAAACAGTGCTGCTTAAATCAAAACGCAAAGGCGAGATGTATCCATTAAACATCAATCCGATACGAGGGAAGCCTTCTATTTGTCTACTCACTAAAGCTGCTATAGACGATAGTTGGTTGTGACATAAGAGACTTTCACACCTCAATTTCAAAGACATCAACAAGCTAGTTATTGGTGATCATGTGCGAGGTCTTCCCCTCTTGAAATATAACAAGGATCAATTTCAAAGATATCAACAAGCTAGTTCAAAGACTTTATAGAATTGATGAAGATTTACTATTGAATGATTTTCAAACGTTGAATAATGATGAAGTTGATGAATTCTCGCCTTGGATTTTGAAATTGATGATCAGGGACATGTTTGGAGAAGGTTTAAAAGTGTTTGGAACTCTCCAAAACTCATGAGAATCGTAGGATAGAAATGGAAAAAAAATCCTTCTTTAGGTTTACGAGGCATTGGGTATTTATAAGTGTGAAAAACTGCCCAAAATCACAATTTTCATGCGTCACCATCCTGTCTAGAAAACATGATGGTAGGGAAGACGATCACCAGGATGGTAAGGGTCTATTTGGCAAAAGTGGCAGCGTCCTAGTGCAATCCAAAACTATCCAAGACGATGACAAATGTTTCCGAGGATGGCGAAACTCCACTTTTCACTAGAAAAACTTATGTCTTCAATATCTTGCACTGAAACTACCATAAGCTCGTTTTTAACATTTTTACATTATTTTTCCTTGTTTTTTTTTTAACCTGGAAAACATCATACAAACATCATCAAAGTAGGTACATTGTTCACATAAATTACATCAATTTTACTTATACAAACAAAGAATATAATCAAGTAAATTGACCGATCAAACCTCCCCAACTTTATTCCAAACTCGTCTCGAGATTGGCCTAAAATAATCAGCGTAGTCTTACTCTCTAATCCTAAGAAAAACTCAATGGAATCACGAATTCCATACATATTATCACAACATTCCAAGAAGCACGATATATCAATTTTGTGTCTAAATAGTTGCTCATCCAAAGCTTTTAAACAAATAATAAATGTTATGCTGATTTTACTTTGGTATTTAAAAACCACTACTTTTCGAACCCTTTCCAAAAATCAACCTCCGGAGTAATTGGTTGAACTCATTGCAAAAGTCCCATTTTCAAGGTTCACTAACATAGTTACAATGGTCGGTAACACTTAATGGGCCAACCCATATATTCCCGCTATCGAGGGGTCACATATTGTTTCATACAATGTCTTCCACTTGAACTTTCTTAAGATTTGTCTTGATTGTGCATTCTTGAACTTCTTTGATGGCTCCATCAGATTTGATCATATTTTGATTTAACTTGAGTTTGAATATATATATATATATATATATATATATATATATATATATATATATATATATATAATTTCTTTAATATCTTCTGATAGTTTTTGGTTGTGTGAAAACAGTAATTGCCCCCTCCTAACCCTAAAGGCATGAGAATATGTAAGACCAAGTACTAAGAGCATGATGACACATATTGTTTGGTTAGGTCCTCAATTGAAATATCTAGGCTTAAGCTAAAAACCTTCATTTTTCAAACATTTGGGTATTTCACATAACAATAATTTTGTTTTTTTATATATATAATAATATTTTTTTTTTAAATCAACCGACTTAGCAACCCACAAAATCAACATTACAAAAATAGTGATGACTCGATGTATGAAATTCCTATCATTTCCAATATTTATAAGTTACATTCAAGATACAAAGAAGATACTAACTCATCACATATTTCATAGCAACCAAACTCGAGGGAATTAGATAATCAAGGGAAAGGTTAAGTTATAATACATTCATTCCAAATTGATTATCTAGATAAAGGTCATCAAAATTAATGAAAAATGAAAAATATAAAAATGAGGAGGACGACACACCTGATAGTACCGGTGGTAGAGGAGGTTTTGATTCCTGAAAAGCTTCACTAAATGGAGAAACATTCATAATGTTTCGTTATGATCGAATGAAAACCAAAAAATTATGATTCTTTTTGAAAAAAAAATTCGCCTTTTCTTCGATCTTAAGTTTTCTTCTTTTGTACAACCCCTTCCCAATCTTAAGTGTTGCATTGTCCTCAATGCATCAAAAAGTGAATTCCTAAACTAAAAAAAAATTCAGCAACAAGCACATAAATCAAATCAAATAAAAATAAACTATAGTAACTAGCCCTCAATTTTGCCGGGTTATGTGATTGCACTTGGCACGTGCAAGAAGCCTTTTAAATACTTAGGTTACCCCTAGTGGACGAGTGAAGTCTTGTGAGGGTTTCCAGTGAACACACCCATAAAGTTCCAAAATTGCCAAGTTTAACGTCATTAGCGGGACAAGTGACCTCGAGCGATGTCTATGGAGGATCATACATTAGGTGACTTCCTTGATATCCAACCACTAGGTCATTTATCGTACTTTGATTAACTCGAGTTAAGTTTGGCAATAGACTAGTCCCCTTAGTTTCAACGATGGACCCATATTATTTTGTTTTACCCGGATCATATGGAATTCCTTCTTTCACCTTGTGGAATCCTAACATTTTATCTTTAATCCTTCCAACAAAATGATTAAAAATTGTTTTAAAGAACCACACATAAGATTTCTTTCAGATAAATTTCTTCATTAGAGGCTTGATATCATGGAATACTTTTATTTTTGATTTGTGAGCATGTGTTCCATCATGATTTTTGTTCCATAAGGTTTTCTTCACTTGTTGGGTAAGGGGTGGTATTAGCCTCCACAGACCCCTCCCCAACTTTGGATGTTTCCAAATCATGAAACTCTACATTAGACTTTTCCAATTCAACTACAACTTCTTTGATTTCAAATATCATTTTGGTATCCTTATCATCCAATAATACATAATCCTTTACCACAACCTTAATTTTGGGTGATGTAGGTTTATGCACAATGTTATCACTAGATAGAAAAGTTACCTCACTCACTTGTGTAGTGTCTGAAAGATTGTCTGAAGGTTGTTGATTTAGCTGCTTTGATATACATTCTAGTTGTTTTTCAATAGTCGAAATTGACTTGGAGCTGTCTTCCTCTTTGTTGAAGGTTTCATTCAACATGTCCAACATTTGATCCAACTTCTTGCTAAATGAAAATTTATTTGATTATTTGTCTTCCGAAAAAAAAGATTCATGGTGTTGGCTTTGAGCCATATCTCAAGTCCACCAACAATCATCATTATATGGATCATCATTATATGAACAATTGTACAGATCATTATAGTATTGATATTGGCCCGGATGTTCGTTCTTTCACCACAAATCTTGATTCATGTAATTGTATTCCTCCATTCACGATCGTCCCTACACGTAAAAAAGAGTGAATATTATGAACTAAAAATAAAACAAAACGAAAAAAAATATTAAGAAACTTGTAATTACTACTTCAACACAATAGTTTAAGCTCACAATCTCCCCGATAACGGCACCAAAATTTGATCGAGGTCATTGTCTCAGTAAAAAATAAACCTTTCTCACACACACACAGGCACTACATAGCTAGGGTAAGTAAGTGTCGAATCCACGATGATTTTGTGGTCAAACCTTGTGCTAAAATCGTCAATGGAAAAATTACTACTTGCAATAGTCATGAAAAATATTTAATCTAAGATTTAAATATAAAAAAAAAAACTAGAAACTTTATACTATAAACGATTACCAATGAGAAAAATAGGGTTACTTCTGGTTCAATTTCGGATGATTAAGACTCATATGTTTATCTTTCCTAAAATTCCAATTAAATTATGAAAACATAACTAAGGTCAATTAACATGCAATAAATAACTTTGGCCACACAATATGTTATTCCGACTAATTGTCTTACTTCCTATGTCTAACTGGATTTGGAACAATGAGTGGTTTAACAATATTGTGTCTTATGGTTACTAATTAAAATGTTTAGCATTTGAAATCATAAGTTTGGAATAGTTTATGTTGATTCAACCGATCGTATTACTTCCTAAACAATATGTACTCGGAAGAGTTAGTGAAGTGTCAATATACTATCTTAATTGTAAAATCAAACACATGAATAAAACCCAACTTTAATAATAATTAATGAAAATCATAACTTTACGAAAAAAAAAAATCAGAATTGATTATAATAAAAGTAATAATCAAAACACATTCATCAAATACTCATAAACATTCCCGAAAGTAACCCTAATGATTTAGCCTTGCATGGAGTTGATAAAATAAATAACTTTAATAAGAATAATGAAATTCATACTAAAATCAATAAACACACTTGAAATCATAAAACTTATGAAGCTTAATGATCAATCAGTTACGGAACAATGAAACCTTGGGGATGAAGTAACAAAATCTGGAACTTGATAGAATTGATGAAGATTCACTGGTTGAATGATTTTCAAACGTTAAATGATGATGGAGTTGATAAATTCTCACCTTGGATTCGGAAATTGATGATCAGGAGTGTGTTTGGAGATGGGTTGGAAGTGTTTGGAACTCTCCAAAACTCAGGAAAATCGCAGGGGAGAAATGGAAAAAAAGTCCTCTTTAGGATTAGGAAATATTGGCTATTTATAAGTGTGAAAAACTGCCCAAAATCGCAATTTTCGTGAGTTACCACCCTGTCTAGAAAACAGGATGGTAGGTAGGACAATCACCATGATGATAAGGGTCTGATTGGTAGAAGTGGCAGCGTCTTAGTGCAAGCAAAAACCATCCAGAACGGTGACAAATGTTTTCGAGGACGTCAAAACTGTACTTTTCAGTAGAAAAACTTCTATCTTTAATTCCTTACCCTCCAACTTCCATAATCTTTTTTTTAATGTTTTTAAAATTTTTTTCCTCGATTTTGACCCTAAAACACATCATACAAATATCATCAAATATGTCCATTGTTCACATAAATTGTACTTATAAAAACAAAGAATATAATAAAGTAAAATTGACCAATCAACAAGATCTAAAAAATGATGAGGCTTGTAAACATAGGTTCTTATGGTCATAAGGTTAATTGAGGAAGTAGATGACATATAAAGGGTATTAGATGATGGAGACGACAAAGCTAAAGGGGTTGATGAAAGAGCATGTATGTTGCAGCCAGTTGTAGGGCATCAACAGTTGTGTCTACTAGAAAGTCGGTAGATTATGGGAACATCCTATACATGTCTGGATCAATCCCGAGGCATAACAAGTAAGGCTTAATCTTATTAACCATGGCGTAGTTAGGGTCACCACTGGACTTTGATTGGGCTGACGGTGTATGTGAATGGGAAACCCCGTTAAATTTGGAGAAGGGTAAACTTGCTATATCTAAGCTTGTATGACCGAAAAACTAAAATATTGTATTTTCAAATTGGGCATGTATGGTAGTGTAAACATCTAAAGGTGATGGATCCAAGCAATGGTAACCTTTGTATTGGTTGCTATAGCCAAGAAAAATGCATGTCAAACTTTATGGGGCAATTTTGTATGACAAGTAGTCTCATCAATAGGGAAACACCCTACATCCAAAGGTGCAAAAGATTTCTCATGTCATGATTTATGTCCTTGGTTCGTCAAAAAACATGCATTTGATTCATATCTCATGATTTTTCACGTAAATTTTCTTTCTTGTAGGATTCAAAGCCTATATATATATATATATATATATATATATATATATATATATATATATATATATATATATATATATAGACACACACACACACACAAAGTTTTTTTTTATTTTTTTTTATTTTTATTTTTAAATAATGTGTAAATAAAATAATCCACTTTGTCGTCATGCCAACACCATATAGACGTAAAATGCCAAAATTTGCATTATCAAATGATGAATGTCATATATTTGCATTGGATGGAATACTAGTTTTGAACCCCTTAAACGATACCACATAGTCAAAATGATCTTTCACTGTGGCAAAGTAATGAGTTTTGCGACTTGGACAATTAACCATGAAAATTGTGTTAAATTTCGACACCGAAATCAAATAAAGAAAAATGAAAAAAAACATAGGTTTTTCAGACCACGTGTAGCTTGATTTGTAACCGATTTGATATATTCAACTATTTTTGTTTTCATATTCTACTATGGTTCTCCCTTTTTACAAGTATGTAATAAACTTTGGACCTGACAAGCAATTGCTGATTTTGTGGTTTTCTTTTGTTTACTAGTGGCGGCCCTAAGGTGTAAGAGAGGTGCAGTCGGGCCTCCGATGTAGGAGCCCTTCAAATTATGGGTTAAATATATCATTATGGTGTTGTGATTCTCGTAAAATACAACTTCATATATTGTTTTAAGAAGACTTTAGATTGTGCGGAAGCTATTGCTTCTGATTTGGAAATTTATCTAGTGTTTTTGAGAAATATAATAAAAGAAGAATTAAAAAAGCATTTTGCCAAGAGTGGAGTTAAGTCATCAAAACGGGTAAATGAACTTTCATACTTCAGTTCAGGATCAATCTTTTGTGTATATAGTTGATGAAGGTATTGGTTCATTTTCGTTCATTAGAACGAATGTTTGAATAATACAAACAATATAAATATATTTTTGGTTTCTTATTTACAACAGAAGGACCATATCTTAGACATTAATGCTAATGGATTATTCAACGATATGAAATTGTTCGAAAAACATTTCCCAATTCAATATACTACAAGTTACAAAATACTGAAATTATTAAAAATTATAAATTATCGAGATTATTTTCTAACATATATTATTATATGACAAGTAGTATCATAAATATGACCCTACATCCAAAGGTGCAAAAGATTTATCATGTCATGATTTATGTCCTTGGTTGGTCAAAAAAACATGCATTTGATTCATATCTCATGATTTTTCATAATTTTTCTTTCTTGTAGGATTCAAAGCCTATATACACACACACACACGCACATTGAGTTTTATTTAAAAAAATAATGTGTAAATAAAATAATCCACTTTGTCGTCATGCCAACACCATATAGACGTAAAATGCCAAGATTTGCATTATGGAATGACGAATGTCATATATATTTGCATTGGACGAAATACTGTTTTTAAACCCTTTAAACGATACCACATAGTCAAAATTATCTTTCATTGTGGCAAAGTAATGAGTTTTGCGTCTTGGACCGTTAACCATGAAATTTGTGTTAAATTTTGACACCGAAATCAAGTAAAGAAAAAATGAAAAAAAAACATAGGTTATTTGGACCTGACAAACAATTGTTGATTTTGTGGTTTTCTTTTGTTTACTAGTGGCGACCCTGGGGCGTGAGAGAGGTGCGGTCGGGCCTTCGATTTTAGGGGCCCTCCAAATTATGGGTTAAATATATAATTATGGTGTTGTGATTCTCGTAAAATACAACTTCATATATTGTTTTCAGAAGGGTTTGGATTGTACGGAAGCTATTGCTTCTGATTTAGGAATTTATCTAGTGTTTTTGAGAAATATAATAAAAGAAGAATTAAAAAAAGCATTTTTGCCAAGAGTGACGTTAAGTCATCAAAACGGGTAAATGAACTTTCATACTCCAGTTTAGGATCAATCTTTTGTGTATATAGTTGATCAAGTTATTGGTTCATTTTGGTTCATGAGAACGAATGTTTGAACAATACAAACAATATGAATATATTTTTGGTTTCTTATTTACAGCAAAATGGCCATATCTTAGACATTAATGCTAATAGATTATTCAACGAACTGAAATTGTTTGAAAAACATTTCCCAATTCAACATATTACAGTTACAAGTAACAAAATACTAAATTTATTAAAAATGATAAACGTTTATCCAAATTCTTGTCTAGCATATAATATTGTTGACTATTCCTATTACAGTTACATAAGGGGAAAGAAGCTTTTTAAAACTAAAGTTTTTAAAATTTTATTTGCGATTGACCATGTCTCAAGAGAGATTAAACGTTTTGATTTTAATTTCAATTGAGAACAAGTTTCTTAAGAATATTTATTATCAAAAGTTTAATATATAAATTTGCTTCTAAAATTGTTAGAAAATTGTCAACGTTTAGAAAATAATAATGTATTATCTTTATATATATATATATATATATATATATATATATATATATATATATATATATATATATATATA